TGGCTGTGAAAGAGTTGTGATAACCCCATGTGCTGGTTTTAGTCAGGACAGAGTTAATTTTCTTCACAGTGGCTGGTATGAAGCTTTCACAGCGTGTGCTTAACCTGGTCGCTGTTAAAGCGCTGCGGTCTCCTTGGCAGGGACAGGACCAGCGTGGGGTAGTGATGCAAACCCCAGGTGGGGAGGCCTGCCGGGGGGTGGCCGGCCATGCTCTGGGCTAATGCAGCTCCCCCGCTGTCCCTTCCCTGCAGGGCTGCGAGGAGCCATGGCGTTCGCCTTGGCCATCCGAGACACGGCCACGTACGCCCGGCAGATGATGTTCAGCACGACGCTTCTCATCGTCTTCTTCACGGTGTGGGTTTTCGGCGGGGGCACCACGGCCATGCTGTCCTGCCTGAATATCCGGTGAGTGCAGCGTGCGTGGGGATCTGCGGGCACAGCACGTTCTCCCCCCCATCCCACTCCTACGTTAAGGTGCTCGGTTTTAATTGACAGGAAGAAGATTGCGTCCTTCCCCCCTGGACTGCGGCACGTACCCGTCTGGCATTGCTTGTGCTAACCCCATGCTTGTTTTCTCCTCCACAGAGTTGGTGTGGACGCGGATCAGGAGAACGTGGTGAGTGCGGCATCGCCGGGCGGCCTCTGTAGAGGGATTTGCGCTGCGCCCGTCGGTGCAGGGGTTATATCAAGACCCTGTGAATGCCCATCTGTGCTCTGCTCCCTGCCAGCTGTGCTCTCTGCCTTTACAATGAGCCTTGCTTTTGTTCAGTTGGAAAGAAGGGTATAGAAGTAACATTGGACTGTTGAGTCAGTGCACATCACTGCAGCAATAGATTCGTTCTCTCCCTTGCTGGCCCTCTGCCTCATCCCAGTGTCCAGGGCAGTACAGAAACACCATTTACTGACTCTATTTATGTATCATTTTCTGCCCCGCTTTTACCCATGGGTACCCTTGACCTCTCTTTTGCCCCCACGTTCCTGTGGCAGTTATGTGGCAGCCCAGGAACTGCTGACCGCGCTGAGGTAAATGCTGGAGCCCTGTGGCATCGGGAGGTTTCCTGCCTGGGAGCCCAGAGCTGTCTTCCTTGTGCATCTGCAGCCCGGTCATGCTGTAGCTGTGGCTCTACTTGGTTTCAGTGGGGGTTCTGCACCTTGGAGGTTCATTTTATTCAGAGCCATTTATTGGGCTGTTCACCTCATGGAGAGAAAGTGTCAAATGCTAAAGGCAGCCCAGAGCCATAAATCTGAAAGCCAAATTTCTGTGAAATATGTAATTGTATTCATAGGCCTCTCCAAACAGTTTTCTATTTTTTTGCCGGCTAAAAGGAAGCCAAGAGTCCCCAGAACACATGATTATTTGCATACAGAAATCTCAGGCGAGAGTTGATGGGAGGCTGGACCTGTCAGTCACTATTAAATGTGATGTCTGGATGTGACCGCTGGCTCCGAGGTACTTTAAACCTTGGGGCCAGAAACTGGAAGGCTTAGCAGAAAAGTGGTCACTCTGTGCCTTGATACCACCTCCCTAAGGCTGTTGTAGACTGCTGAATGCTGGAAGCACCTCAGCCTGTCATGATGTGAATGTTCTTATACTCCCTACAACCCAAAGGTTTCTTCTGAAGAGGTTCTGGGAAGGTGTGTGTCTTCCTGTGTTCCACCGGGGATAACCCGGTGCCCTGTGGGGGCTCCTGCTCCGGGTCGTGACATGTTGTCCTGCCCTGTTTAATGTTTTACTCTCCCGCAGGGCGTCCCGGAGAGCGAGAGGAGGAGTACGAAGGCAGAAAGCGCCTGGCTTTTCCGCATGTGGTACAACTTCGATCACAAGTATCCTTGAAGGGTGGCTGGCACGTGCCATGCCAAATCCTGTCTGCCCGAGCTACTGCGTTGACTCGGAGCATGACTCACTCCCCGCTTGGCAGAGGAGCCAGCGTTTGCTTTCCATCACACTGCTGATTTTTGATTTGCGCCTCCTTGTGTCTGTGGCTGCAAGGAATGACCGTTCCCACCTGCCATTAGCTGGGGATGCAGCGGTAGCTCAGTTCAAAGCTGGGCTCTCCAAGGCTGGAAGCCCATGGGGGTCCTCAATCCCTGTGGCAGGCAGGCAGGAAGGGCAGGGGGTGCTCTCCTTTGTAGCCCTTTTGCTAGATCTGTGCCACGCCTCCCTTGCAAATGCTTTCCCATTAATTAGTGGAGGAGCAATTTGCCAGGCTGAGGATGGTGGGACAAGGGATGCTGTGAAGCCTTTTCTTACTGGGGCTGTGCCCTGGTCTGCTCATGTCCTGCTGTGTTTGGTTGCATTCCCATTGCTTATCCCTATAATTTTTGTGCTTCCAGGGACTTGTGTTTCTTTCCTTCCTGTGTGAGTCCCTCAGTGCTGCCTCTGCATCCCATCCCTCGACTTACCAACATCGCCTGGTTACTCTTTCTTCCTTAACCCTCTCCGTAGCTATCTAAAGCCTTTGCTGACACATAGCGGTCCTCCACTGACGACCACGCTCCCGGGGTGCTGCGGGCCTATTGCCCGGTGCCTGACGAGTCCGCAGGCGTATGAGGTGAGTCCATCGCTCTCCTTCCTCTCCTGATGTTGAGGGAGTTTGGTGTGTTTATGCTTCTGTGTAACTTGGATGCTGCTCTGCAGCATCTAGCTGGGAGCCTGGGGGGAGATCAGATACTGGGACTGATGGATGTGCTAATTCCCCTGAGCATTTTGCTTTTCCAGCTACTGTTTGTTCATGGAATGATTCGTGGTGGATGAGGAACATGGTGGTTCCTCAGTGGCTGACTCACTGAAGCTGTTACAGCTGTCCTTCCCCAGGCCCTGGGAGGGTACACAATTTCCCTAACTCCTGTTTTCTTCCAGCATTCAAGCTGAGCCATTCCTGCAGCCCCTTCAGCTGCATCTCTCTCACATGAAAAAGTTACCAGCATCTGAACCGGGGCTGATATTCTCCTGCAATGGTGAAGAGCCCTTGTCTGAGCAGCACAGAGGGGCAGGGAGATGACAAGGAGCTTCGGAGAGCCTGTAGGCAGCGACCTCTTCCACCATTGCTGCAGAGCCTGTGTGCACCCACGCTCTTTTTGCTGCTGGTCAGGCTTGGGCTTCCGTGGCTCTGCAGGTGGCTGGTGCCGGCCCGGCTCTCCGGCAGGGCCTTGGCACTCAGAGCATTGCCATGCCCAGGAGCCCCGGGCAGCGGCAGCTCTCTGTGGCTGGAGTGTTCTTGTCCTGCCCGCAAGGCACCAGCATCAAGTTCCCTGCACAAAACAGGAATGGCTCTGATGGGTTGGCGATGTGATTCCCATGGTCATGCTTTGGTCCTGTCAGCCACTCAGAACTGCATTCCCGTGTATCTGGCTGTGGCATCAGAAAGAAGAGCCGAGCGCTCTCTTAGGCAACCTGCAGAGAAATTAGAGCCTTGTGCGAGTCTCCTGTGCTCAGAGATGCGTGTGTGGCAGAGCTGGTTATGGTCATGCTGCAGGAGAGCCTGCGATTCGGTGCCTTCACCTGCTCGCTCACCGCTGCTGTGCCGTTGCAAGAACAAGAGGAGTTAAACAGCACTTTCCTCCTGTTTGTTGCACAGAATCAAGAGCAGCTGAAGGACGATGACTCTGACCTCATTCTGAACGACGGGGACATCAGTCTGACCTACGGGGATTCCACCGTCAACACCGACTCTGTTGCATCCAGCGGTACGTCGCGGCGGTTCGTGGGAAACAGCTCTGAAGACGCTCTCGATCGGGAGCTCGCTTTTGGGGACCATGAACTCGTAATCCGGGGAACGCGCCTGGTCCTTCCCATGGACGATTCGGAGCCACCGTCAAACGTCCTGGATAACGCAAGACATGGTCCAGCATAAGGTTGCTCAGTTTAATTGACAGTAATATTTGCATATATGATCAAGAAATATGTACTACCTAAAGTCTAATGCATGTCTGAAAATGTCTAAGCTGTATAAATATTATTTATATGGTGTCAGAAGAATATAAATATTCTCTGCCAAGCACTTGTAAAGAACAAGCTGCAAATTTAAGTTAAAAACTGTGTTGACTGCACTGTGTAGGGTGGAACTGTTTTAGCGTAAGAGTCTTTTGCACACAGTGAGCTTCTTTAATGTGTGATTCGACGAAGGGTTCAGTTCCCAGCAGGGTAAGTAAAGGAGCTGACTCCCTGTTCATCCTTTGAGCCGGGGAGAGGAGGGTAGGGAGGTGCTGGCGAGCAGTGGAAATCGCTTTTGATTCAGATGAGGATTGTTTTGGGGTTTTTTTTTTTGATCTCTGATCTTTGGATAGACACGTTTGAAATACCAGCAAAAAATCTGCCCACAGGTCCTCCCGCCGGGCAGCAGCCGGTGATAAACTCGTTCACTTTGTGGGAACCTGAGCTGGGACCTGGAGACTCTGCTTTTTAGTGCCCAAGCCCTGCTTTAGCGAGCGAACGGCAGGCACCGGCCAAAGCTGGTAGCGAGGACTGCGGGCGTCAGGAGGGAGGGTGGTTTGTGTCTGTAGTCATGCGTAGGAGAAGGAGGTGATCCCACAGAAACTACACCGGGCGTGGGCAGATTTTTAGGGCTGAGTCCATCTTTCAGTTGTGGCTCAAGCAGCTTTCTAGAACCAGCCATCAAATCCTCAATTGGCAACTGAATTTCACATTTGGGAAGTGACCGTCTCGTTGCGCGAGTGAATCCCTTCTCCTGCAGTCATGGATGTAGCTGGGACGTGCAGAGCTACTGCGATTGCACGCGAGGCCCCGGAGCCCGGCCAGCCTCGCACACAAGCTTTACGGCTGCAGATCGACACGGTACCTCCGGACCTCTCCAGAGGTATGGAGCATCTCTCCAGGTGGTACTGAAGGGGAGTTGTCCGTCCATCCTCCTGTATAGTCAAAAATCATTGCACTTTGTTTAAGAACTCCTTGGCATGCGGAGTGTCTGTAACCCTCACCCGCGCTCGCTCGTCTCTCATCCCATTTAACGAGAAATGTTTTGCGAGTTGATCTTTTTTTTTTGTTTTGTTTTGTTTCTTTGGTATTTTTTTAAATCTTAATTTTTATTTTCCAAGGAAGAGCACAGAACAATTTGCGATTTCACACTAGTGTTAAAGGATTTACTCCGTAGTTACGAGAATGGCTAAAGGTGCAGTGAAATTGTTAACCCTGACATCCTTCTTTTTTTCTCCTGAAAAGGGGGAATCACAGAAATTTACTGTACGTAATTTTATTGTCTATTTTAGCTGCAGTTTTGCCGTAAAAACCTTTCAGGGTTACTGGTGCACTATAGGCCCGCTCTGGAGATCACCCTCTCCAGAGGGCTCAAACAGAAGTGTTTAAAAAGAAAAAGAGCCAGGTGAGTCTGAGCGCTCACAGCTCCCATTAGCTTCCCTTGGAACAAACTCTGCACCTCTCAGGATCTGACCCTGAGACCTCAGAGCAGTGTCCCCACGAAACTGTTTTCCCCAGCTCCACCTGAGGGTTGGAGGAGACAAGAAATACTGAAATTTCGAGTGTATATGTATCGTTGAGAAAATAAATTTACACTTTTTAATTGTTTTTCATTTTCTCAGGTCTAAGTAACATTGCCTTAAATTTATGGATGTGGAACTAATTATTTTGGCAGTTTATCCCCAAGAAAATGCTTTCTTTTTCCTTCTGAACAAAATGTGTGTTGCCATAGGACTCCTCTAGAAGGGGGAGTACGCTCTGTTTATATTTAGATAGGGCATCTTCCTCGCACCAGTGAATGGCAGTCTCGCTGTTAACATAGCTGTTGGATTAGCGCTAGCCTCTTTGTTTCCTGCTATGCAGGAATTCCATAAAGTGTGTGTTTTATATGATGTCTGTAACTTAACTTCATGTGTTTAAAAAAAAAAAAAGAAAAAGAGAAAAAAACCCATAGGTACCTGTTGACTTTAGGTTTACTGCATCACTTCTACATCCTGTTTTTTGTTTGTTCTGGCTTTTTGAAGAGGTATGATAAATAACTACCGCTTGTTTTTTCCTGTCTAATCTGACTATGAAATTCAATTTACAAAGCTGGCGTTGGTGCAGCTGGAGGGGCAGAACGGTTCTGCTTCCCGCGAAAGCCCGTGGTCCCATCGCCAGGCCCCGTGCGCACAGGGCTCCCTCCCAGGCAGTCCCCAGGTGAGGTGCAGATTTGGAGCCGAGCTCTTCGAGAGGGCCGTAACGTAACATTTCACCGCAGCCCTGGTAGCATTCCTCTTTCTCTGACCCTTCGACTTCAGTAATTTATCCACTCTCTGTAAGCTCGCCCACACGTTACCCTAAGCCTCGGCTTTTGACGCCAGTGATGGCTCAGTTAGCACATTAAAGTAAACAAACCCTAACAAATGATGATTTCATGGCTTACCTGTGAATTCTTATGATCCATACATAATATAATCAGGACTGTTTTGAATAGTCTTGGTGAATGAATGAATCTAAGCTGAAATTCAGGAGTGATTTAATAAATGACTCCATCCTCAGGTGATTGTTTTCTTTGTCCTGCTGTGGCAGGGAATACACGAGTGCCTGGTTTTCAGATGCAGAGCCCTGATGGCATGTGTCCTGCAGATGAAGTTAAGGGTACCTTAGAGAATCAGGCCCTGAGACCTTTTGCCAAATAGATAAGACAGCCCCGAGGAGGCAGTTTACAGCTTCCACAAAGATTTAGAGAAGGTGCCCTTCTGTAAATTGAATTTTCATGGGTTTTGCACATGAAAAAGCATTGTAGGTAAAGTTATGATTTGTACTAGTACTGTCGATTTGTGTGGCAATGGCATTAACTCCGTAGTTGTGGTGTTTGTGCAGCTGATCTGTGATAGCTGATGATCACTATTGGACCTTCTGTTTACACTGACTAAATCCTTTACTGTTGCGTTGTACTGTGAAAGAAGGATTATGGGCCTATAAAAGATTTTTTGTTTTCCTGGAATTGTGTGTACCGTTTCATTAATTCACACGGAAATAAACCTGTAGCAAAGTGACGACGTGCCACTTGACCTTCTCAAACCAGTTTGTTCATGGCCAACGGGTAAGGCAGCAGCCACGGATGCAGATGCTGAACCCCGTGGGCTGGAGGGCAGCCGGGCTGGGGTGCACGCTCCTGCCTTCACCCCCTTAGCGCTCCTGGGACACAGCCCAGCCCTGGGGCTGTCCTGCCTTGCAGGAACAGGCGCTGGGGAGCGGAGGGATGCTGATGTCCGTTTAAAGCCGCTGCAGCTCCCAGACTCCTCCATGAGCAGCAAAACCCAGCTGGGGTAGCGCTGCTCACTCACACATGCCCTGCATGAGAGGCATCACTAGTGGGGTGTTCCCAAAATTCAGGCTCTGGAGCTTTCGTGGGCTTTTATGTCCTGTGCTTTTGTTGAATATGCAGTTGGGCTCGTGGCAGGTGATTCTGCCCGCCGTCTGTACCACTGTTTTGGTGCTGTGTACTGTCGGAGCAGCTGAAGAGGTTAGTTGTTCAAATGCTTTACAATCCTGTAGTATAGAGGGTGTCTCAGAAACAACAGGAATCTGTTTTTTGAGAGTTGATTCACAAAGGACAACCTTCACCTTTTGAACAGTATAAAAATACATTCTTTGTAGCTCTGTATCGCTGAGGGAATCATAGACTGGTGTGGGTTGGAAG